AGCGGCTAGGGAGGTTGGCTCGCGGATAAAGTTCTTGTCAAGCATCTCGTCAATCCATTTCTTGATGCAGCGGAGCTCGGCTGGCGAAAATGGCCGGTTCTTGAAGTACGGGGCTTGCTTGCCAGGCATTATCTCGATTCTATGGTCCTAGGGTCGATGGGGTGGGAGTGATTCAGCGTTCTTTGTCAGGAAGTGCTCGACATGCTGGCGGAACTCAGGTGGCAGCTGTTTCAGAACGCCTTCTCGGGTGACAGGTGCCTTGCTCTCTAGAAACTTTTGAACGTCCTCGTTGACGATCTTGCGGCGGAGGGGTTCAGAGCCAGAGGCCAGGTTCTCCTTCAGGAAGTCGTGAAAGTACTCGGGTATCATTTTCTTTGCCTCATCCAGTGAGTAGTCTCCTTCGACGAGGCGGCGATAAGCCATTTCGGAGAGTTGTAGCAGCTCAATTGGCCTCATAGGGAGCTCAGAGAGAGCTTGACGGTTCTCTTCTTGATCAGATATTTTGTTCAGCTCGGCCATATGGATCCTCATGACCTGGACGCCTTTTTTCTTGCAGAACTGAGCGAAATTCAAGCCGCGGACGCAGCGAATGTCGTCAGTCTTGGGGCGCTCTACTGACTGTGTGTCTGGCTGGCTGACACGGCTCGGCCGGCTGTTGTGAGCGGGCGGGAGTCGGCGGTCGTGCACGAGGCGGGCAGGCAGGGGGTGTGAGGTTGGGCGAGCTGGTGGAAATGTTTCCATTGCTTTGTTTTCGGGGCCTGCTGATGTGGTAGCCGTTTTCAGTGCGCTCCGTCCGGCGAACGGCATCAAACGGTGGTTCGGTGTCACAAATGAACCAACGAGAGTCAACAACGGCGGCTTACTTACAGAAGCCAGTGGGGAACGTAGGACGTTTCGAGCCAATCACTTAGGACCAATCGGAACGAGTCCTAGAGGTGCTCCAGAGAGCTCTCAGGAGCATGAGAGAGCACCAGTGCAAGGCCAATCAGAGGACGCTCTAAGAGGCTCTCGAGAGCACCATAGAGCATTGGCTCTAGGTGGCTCTAGAGAGCACGAGAGAGCAACCAAATGCATCTAGTATATAGTCACTCGTTCTGGAGGACTCTGGGAGTTCTCCAGTAAGCAACTCAAGTGCAAGATTGTCAGTACCCTTGGACATTGCTTGTTGTGAACCCTTTGGCTTCACCGAACCTCACCCCGTTGTCAAGTATAACCTTCAGGAGTCCCTTTCAGAAGTTGGGGCTTTGAGATTCGTCACAGTTACGAGCAAAACAGTCCGCTTTCTTCAACCAGCCTTAATAATCATTGTCCCTAGGGGGAACGTCGAGCGTGACAAACATATCCTTGATTTTATCGTTGATGTAGATTTTTAATAGGTCGACCTTCTGCTCAGGGGTCTTTTTAGCCTTGACGAATAGCTCGTCCAGTTCTTGCTTCTAGGACCAGTAGTTGCGGTTTTTCTAGAAGAATATATCGAGCTTGTCTTTAGCGAACTGTGAAGAGTCTGTAGTAATATACTAGTACATATGAATTTCAGCATCGCCTGCTGATCGTTGAACTTGAGGTTAGGGTCATCAAGGTTCCTACGGAAAGCAGTGACATAGTCAGAAATGAACTGAAAAGCTTTCCTATCGCACTGGTCGGCGATATAGCCGATACGGAGCTTTGGGGTGTCGAAGTAATCCAAGTCGCGGTCAAACATACCTATGATCTTCGACTCCCAGGTCTCGTAGGACCCTGGATTTTATAGTAGGCGCTGTTCTGGCGTCGAACTTCGAGGGGGGTGGGCTGCCAGACGCTTCTTGCTCTTGCTAGAGCTTATGGCGCTCGAGCTCCCTATCTCTTCCAGTAGCTTATACTGTTGCTCAATGACTTTCTTAAGGAAATCCCGCTCCTTGGCGATAGTTTGAAGATTTGCCTCGGCTACCTTGCCGCGGGATGTGGCGTCATCTCGTTCGTCGATAAGAGCGCGATCGATCGAGTGTTCTATAGAGTTGAGGAAGTCACTATAGGAGTCGAGTGCGTTAATGTAGGCGAGGTTCGGGCATCGTCAGTTGTCGAAGAGGCCCGCGAGCTCAATCCTGGGGTCTATGGGCGTAGAGTCGCCCATTTCTAGAGGTTTTTGTTTCGTTGTGGCCGTGGGGTCGGTGATCTCGGGGTTCGCAGTAGTCTTGGGATTCGGTGATCTTGGGATTCGGTGATCTTGGGATTCGGTGGTCTTGGGATTCGGTGGTCTTGAGGTTCGGTGGTCCGGGGGTTCGCAGTGGGCTTGGGAATCAGTGGTCTCGGGTCGCGTCAGGATGCATCAGGAAGGTTTTCGGGCCACCGGGTCGCATGACGGTAAAACTGGCTGGGACAACTTCGTGAGGGCTTCAGTGGCTATAGCGCACGACAGGGCGGCAAATTATAATAGAGCAAACTGGCACAGAACCATAGTAGGTCTAGGAAGATAACTGCGTTGCTCTATAAAGAGGAAAGGAAGCTATGGATGGATGAACCTGAAGCTAAGCGCAATGTGCCACGTACCTAGGGATCGGCGGTCCAATGCCATGACACCAAGAACCTAGCTGGCTATAGAGATACGCTCGCAGAGTGACCTGTATAGGGCTCTCGACGGGCGGGGAAACAAAGAGAGAAGGCTTGCTAGGAAGGTAATCAGGTAGCTACTATGCTCTAGGAGGCTCCTTAGAGTATAAGCTAACTGCATAGCTAGAACTAGGCTAGTTCGCTAGCCTAGTTAGTGATCTACGCCTTTCTTTTCGCTATAGTAGGTGAATTCAAGACTTCAGACTGGTATAGGAGAGACAGAGGTTTTTAGTCTAGCCTTGCAGGCATAGTTTTCCTTTGTAATTAGTGGTAGAGGGTCCGGCGAGCCCTAGGGCATAGCGGTATAGGAATACTAATAATGAATTTGGAATGGCTATACACGAAAACTTGTTAAAAAAAGGTTAAGGGTACGGATATGTGTCTAGATTTATGAGGTAGGGGTTGTTGTTGGAAAGCCAACAGCCACGAATGTGCCGCACCGTAGTAATTGGGTACCAAAAGATGGGCAACCACTCAATTGATGATGATGTTCCTGTCTGCGTTCTTCCAGACGTTCCCTGCCTGTTCCTGATCCTGAGAATCCTGGCGCCAAGCCATTAGTACCCCTGAACTGCCCTCTCTGACCACCTGCCAAATCCAACAGTTATTTCTACCTAACAGCCTCATTCCCCTCTACCCCGCCTGCCGCTGCATGAAAGATTGAGCACCCAACGCGGATGCAGTTTTCTCACAAGCAAGGCACATCGATGCACGTGCCCGCAAAATCTGAGCGTCGGGCATCAAACCTACCTTACCTTATTCTATACACAAGGAGGCTGCTCGGTGTCCCAGCACCTTCTGTGTGCATGTCGAGGGAAGTAAGCTTCTCTTTTGAACTTATTAATACTTTAAAGGCCAGGTACAGGTTGGGTCCGAATCGCGAGACGATGCAGGCGAGAGCCTGGCTGTTCAGGGCTTGCAAGATACCTATGTAGGTAGTAAAGAAGCCAACTAAATCAATTCCAAGGCGCTTGTAGAACTACCTGTGCCAACACATCACAATCTGGCCCAAGTCGGGCTGGACAGTTGATAGCCAGTTCGTATTCGTATCTGGGAAAAATTCAAATCGTCGAAGCGTTGAAGACATCAGAAATCGGAGAATCATGGTGAAGACTACGGTCCGGTTCCAGCCACGGAAGAAGGCCGAAGAGTTGCGGGCTCTCGGACACTCGGAGAGCCCGAAAAGTGCGATCTTGACCCACTTGAAATATGGGATCGCGGGCTAGCTTCGGATGGCCATGGACCCGGCTAGCTCCTTGGCACTCTGCTCTGTCTTTATTGGATGTACGGATCCGTAATCAAGCTGCCAAGCCCCGACGAGATAAAAGGCTCCCGATCAGGATTGCCCTTACACGTGTAGTGTATGGCCAGAACTTCGGTTTCGGGGGTGGCGTCGAAAGGCTGCATGGTGATAACATCTTGCCTGAGTGATGGGGCTGTCATCTGCGTCATCGAATTCAGCGGCGCCTTCACTCTACTGACATCAAGACCTTACCTAGGTCGTGCTCGTCGACAGATCTTATCGTCTTGCATGTAGGGACCTTACTCTACGTTAATGGATTATACTCGAAGTCGCTTGCAAGAACAAACATAGTTGGATCCGCAGGTCAACGATCTTCCAACCCAATTCCTCAGATTTCACGCAGTGGGAGACAAAGGGAGGGCAGGTTCTTCACTCCGCAGATTGAGACTTTGAAAAGACCATTCAGCTTCTTCGAGACCTTGCCCTAGAGATGATTCATATCTCGTCGTTTTCGACCGATTTCCAGAACCGGCGGGGGAGGAAGGCGTGCGACACATCCAGGTTGGTGGGGTGAAGTCGACGGTGTCGGCTCCCGATTTCTACAGGTTTTCATGAATTCTTGGGGTCGGCTAATACTGTATGATGCTTTTGACTCCACCACCAATGAGCTCTTCGTTGTGAAGTGCTCACTGCTCGGGAACTTTTTCGCTTGTCGGGGCGTTTGGAAGGGTTCGCGCAACGCTCCCGGACCCCGGCGCGGTGCTCTTGGACTGCGCCATCCTTCCTGCACGGTTTGGACTCCACTCGGGGCCTGCGAAAACCCCGTCTCCCCATGCCTCTTTTTATAGCCCAAACGACCGCCAAATTTCTCAGGGGCAACCGCCATTTTTATTGTTTGATTGTTGGCTGTCGTTGGATTGTGGTCTCTGGTATTCCCAGCGTGACTCCGTCCCCTCGGCTTTCTATTTCGTGCCGCTCATTCCTCCTACCCAGTTCACCATTGATCCGACTTTAATTTCGACAGTTTCATCTTCGCATTTCCAGATCTGCGTGCAGGTGTTTGAAGCTCGGTCGCACAGCGGCCCCGCAAAACGGCATATTCCGCACCATTTAGGCTGCACGGCCAATTCACCGCGACACGTGGTTGTGCATCAGCCCGACCGACGATCCGATGTCCTTCACGGGGACGGGTTCCTTCGGGAACTACGACCTGACGGCCCAGACGACCGGGTCGCCGCTCGCCCGGCAGACGACGCGCGAACACCCAGATCAAGCGGTCACACCCGCGGCATCATCACCAGCTCGCAATGACCAGGGCACCAGAACCCGTGCCACATCGGTAACGGAGATTGCCGATGGTGATGTCTCGCGCTATGAGAAGGACATTTCACCAGGCAATGCAACCGACACGGCCGGCGAGGACGACGAGGCATCGGAGAACGCAGTTGAGCAGGAGCGCCGTCATAGCATCGTGCAAGCTCTAGCGAGGAAGTTCACCAACCAGTCGAATGCCGGTCCCCAAGCTGGCGTCAACCCCTTTTTCGTTTCGTCGGACGACGAGGCTTCGCCGTTAAACCCCAATGGCCCCAATTTCAACGCCCGTGCCTGGGCCAAGGCCGTGGTCGAAATGACTGCTGGCGAAGGCCAACAGATGCGTACCACAGGCGTGGCCTTCCAAAACCTCAATGTGCACGGCTTCGGCTCTGCGACGGATTACCAGAAGGACGTCATCAATGTATGGCTGGAGGCCGTCGGCCTCGTGCGCCGGATTACTGGCCACGGGAAGCGTCGCATCGATATTCTGCGCGACTTTGATGGTCTGGTCCGCAAGGGCGAGATGCTTGTCGTCCTGGGACCTCCAGGCTCGGGCTGCACGACATTTTTGAAAACCATCGCTGGCGACTACAATGGCATTTTCGTCGATGAAAACTCGTATTTCAACTACCAAGGTCAGTGTTGCTAATCCTCGGCTCCAAATCTGATTGATTTCTGACATTTGACTCAGGAATGACGGCCAAGGAGATGCACACGCAGCACCGTGGCGAGGCCATCTACACTGCCGAGGTCGACACGCATTTCCCACAGCTGACGGTTGGCGACACGTTGACCTTCGCTGCCCATGCCCGCGCTCCGCGCCAGCTGCCTCCCGGCGTTAACAAAACGATGTTTGCCAACCATCTAAGAGACGTCGTCATGGCTATGTTTGGCATCAGCCATACGATCAACACTCGCGTTGGCAACGAGTACATCCGTGGTGTCTCGGGCGGTGAACGGAAACGTGTCACCATCTCTGAGGCGGCCCTGTCCGGTGCGCCTCTGCAATGCTGGGACAATAGTACCCGAGGCTTGGACAGCGCCAATGCCATCGAGTTCTGCAAAACCTTGAGGCTGCAGACCGAGCTGTTCGGCAGCACAGCTTGCGTGTCCATCTATCAGGCGCCTCAGAGCGCCTACGATCTTTTCGACAAGGCCCTTGTGCTGTACGAAGGCCGCCAGATCTTCTTCGGAAGGGCCAGCGACGCCAAGCAGTACTTCATTAATTTGGGTTTTGAATGCCCCTCTCGCCAGACGACGCCCGACTTCCTCACGTCGATGACAAGCCCACATGAACGCATCGTGCGCCCCGGTTTTGAAGCCAAGGCACCGCGCACCCCCGATGAGTTTGCCGCCGCCTGGAAGAACAGTGCAGAATACAAGGCTCTGCTGGCCGAGATTGAGGTGTACAAGCAGAGCCACCCCATCAATGGGCCCGACGCCGAGGCATTTCGCGCTTCCAAGAGAGCACAGCAGGCCAAGTCTCAGCGACTCAGGTCGCCCTTCACCCTCTCGTACATGCAGCAGGTTAACCTCTGCCTTTGGCGTGGTTGGAGGCGACTGATTGGCGATCCGAGCTTGAGTCTCGGTGCCCTGATCGGCAATTTCATCATGGCCTTGATCATCTCGAGCGTCTTCTTCGACCTGAAACCCACCACGTCCAGCTTCTACCAGCGAGGCGCCCTGTTGTTCTTCGCCTGCTTGATGAACGCATTCGCCAGCGCCCTCGAGATCCTCACCCTGTACGCCCAGCGTCCCATTGTCGAGAAGCATGATCGCTATGCCCTCTACCACCCGTCCGCCGAAGCTGTGGCGTCTATGTTGTGCGACATGCCGTACAAGATCGCGAACACCATTGTTTTCAACATCACCCTCTATTTCATGACCAATCTGCGCCGCGAAGCCGGTGCTTTCTTCTTCTTCCTGCTCATCTCATTCTTCACCGTCATGACCATGTCCATGATGTTCCGGACGATCGCCAGCTCGTCAAGAACCCTGTCTCAGGCCATGGTACCGGCTGCTGTCATTATCCTCGCCCTCATCATCTTCACCGGTTTCGTTATCCCCATCGACTACATGCTGGGTTGGTGCCGTTGGATCAACTACATTGATCCCCTGGCGTATGCCTTCGAGTCCCTGATGGTCAATGAGTTTCACGGCCGCACCTTTGAATGCAGCCAGTTCGTTCCGAGCCCCAGCTTCCCCGGATACGAGAAGGTCGGACCCACAAACAGAGTCTGCTCAGCCGTTGGCTCCGTCGCCGGGTTGGGCGTCGTCAATGGCGATGACTACATCAACACCGCTTTCCGGTACTACCATGAGAATAAATGGCGCAACTTTGGCATCATCATTGCTTTCATGATCGGGTTCCTCGCCTTTTACATGTTCGCTGCCGAGAACGTTGCGGCCAAGAAGAGCAAGGGCGAAGTCCTGGTCTTCCGCCGCGGCCACAAGCCGGCCTCGTTCAAGGAGAACAAGGGCGACGCCGAGTCCGGCGGAATACCACTGGCTGGTCCCGTCGCCGAGGCTGCCAACGGCCATGTTTCGGACGGCCACTCGTCCGACAAGGAGGGTGGCATGCTGCAGAAACAGACGAGCGTCTTCCATTGGAACAATGTTTGCTACGAGGTCAAGGTTAAGGGCGAGACGCGACAAATCCTGGATCATGTCGACGGCTGGGTGAAACCGGGCACCCTGACCGCTCTGATGGGTGTCTCGGGCGCTGGTAAAACGACGCTTCTCGACTGCTTGGCCGACAGAACCTCCATGGGCGTCATCACTGGCGAGATGCTTGTCGATGGCCGTCCCAGAGATACGTCTTTCCAGCGCAAGACCGGATATGTCCAACAGCAGGATCTACATCTCCAAACGACGACTGTTCGCGAGGCCCTGAACTTCAGTGCACTCCTTCGCCAGCCCGCTCATGTTCCCCGCGAGGAGAAACTTGCGTATGTCGACGAGGTCATCAGGCTCCTGGAGATGGAGGAATACGCCGACGCCGTCATTGGAGTTCCCGGCGAAGGTCTCAATGTGGAGCAGAGAAAACGTCTTACAATCGGTGTTGAGTTGGCTGCCAAGCCCCCTTTGCTCTTGTTCGTCGACGAGCCGACTTCTGGTCTCGACAGCCAGACCTCGTGGGCCATCCTGGACTTGCTCGAGAAGCTGACCAAGAGCGGCCAAGCCATCCTTTGCACTATCCATCAGCCGTCCGCCATGCTCTTCCAGCGCTTCGACAGGCTCCTCTTCTTGGCAAAGGGCGGCAAGACGGTCTATTTTGGCGATATCGGCAAGAACTCCAAAACCATGACGTCGTACTTTGAGCGCAACGGCGGTTTCCCTTGTCCTGAGCAGGCGAACCCGGCCGAGTGGATGCTTGAGGTTATTGGCGCCGCTCCTGGAAGCCACAGCGACATCGATTGGCACATGACGTGGCGTGAGAGCCCTGAATACGCCGCTGTCCAAGACGAACTGCAGCGCCTCAAGCGTGACGTGAAGGAGTCGAACCCGATCACCGAGGACCCCGGCAGCTACCGCGAATTCGCCGCCCCCTTCTGGCAGCAGCTCATCCACGTCACGCACCGTGTCTTCCAGCAGTACTGGCGCACGCCGTCCTACATTTACTCCAAGACTGCCCTGTGCGTCCTTGTTGCGCTCTTCATCGGTTTCGTCTTCTACAATGCTCCCAACACGATCCAGGGCCTGCAGAACCAGATGTTTGCTATCTTCAACATCCTGACCATCTTCGGCCAGCTTGTCCAGCAGACCATGCCGCACTTTGTCGTTCAGCGCTCGCTGTACGAGGTCCGCGAGCGGCCCTCTAAGGTGTACGGCTGGAAGGTCTTCATGCTGTCGCAGATTATTGTCGAGCTGCCGTGGAACACGCTGATGGCCGCACTCATGTACGTCTGCTGGTACTATCCCGTCGGTCTCCAGAATAACGCCTCGGCCGCCGGCCAGACGGCCGAGCGCGGCGGCCTCATGTTCCTGCTCCTCGTGGCCTTCCTGCTCTTCACCTCGACCTTCACCGACTTCATCATCGCAGGCTTCGAGACGGCCGAGGCTGGCGGCAACATTGCCAACCTGCTCTTCTCGCTGTGCCTGATCTTCTGCGGTGTCCTCGCCACGCCCGACACCATGCCCCGGTTCTGGATCTTCATGTACCGGGTCAGCCCCTTCACCTATCTCGTCAGCGCCATGCTATCGACGGCCGTGGCCAACACCGACGTCGTCTGCGCCGCCAACGAGTTCCTCCACTTTGCCCCGCCCGACGGCCTCAGCTGCGGCGAGTACATGGCGCCCTATATCTCGCAGTTCTACGGATACCTCGAGGATACGGCCAACACCACCATGTGCTCGTACTGCACCATCAGCAAGACCAACGTGTTCCTGGCGAGCGTCCAGTCCAGTTACGATGACAGGTGGCGCAACTTTGGGTATGTGTCCTCTCCCTGCCCCCGGCTCTCGCCTGCTAGATTGCGCGGACCTTAACACTAATTTTGTCTCACAGCATTCTTTGGGCATACATCATCTTCAACATCCTCGCCGCTCTGGGCTTGTACTGGCTTGTCAGAGTTCCCAAGAAGAAACTTGGGAAGAAGAAGCAGGATTAAAAATTCTGGTTTTGACCTCCCGTGACGGGGATTCGTGATGGGACGACGCCATCGTCTTCCCCATCTGATGTCGGTCATGGCATTGATGACCTTACATATCCCATCCCTCTCCATCACTTTAAGCCATTTGCACAGCGATTTTCCTTCCATTTCATGTTAGATATTTTTGCATCTCACCGACCACATACAAAGCTCTGTACTTACCATTGTTTTCTCTGTTCCTTCATAATGTCTAGACCAGATCCCAGGGTGCCGGCGATGCTGTGCATATTACCTTGCTTCACAAATAGATTCCGATCCCGTCACGGGACGTTGAATGTTCAAATCAGATGAGGTGGCCATTTGCCGTAGTAAATAAGTGGGTGCTTCGTGACTGCCAAGCCCGTTCTGGAGTCATAAAGCCTTGTTGGTACCTGTACAGCTTCTATACAAAAGTGATGAATGATCGATCCATCACAACACACAACGACTAACTCTAAAGGAAGTTGATGCCCACACCAACCTGCAATCCCTTCCGCCCTTCCTCACCCCTCCGCAAGACAAGTGGCAAGCTGAAATTGAGCTCAAACCGGGCTACGGGATGAGCATACACCAGCCCGAACCCCGCAGCCAGACTGGGCAGCCCATTCGCGAGCTCCCCCACAGCCGACTTGACGCCCCTGAAGACAGTTGCCGAGTCCATGGCCAGGCCTTCCCTCGCCTTCTCTTCACTGTGTTTGGCGTTGAGCGCCACCAACCGGCCCGCGTTAGCAAACAGCTGCAGCCTCAGCGGAGAGTCGGGCCCTGTGCGCGGCAGCGGGATCAGCGCATTGACGCCACCAGCGGCATAGACGTCGCCGCCCACGGAATCTACACCGTCGTGCGGGCCCAGCCCGCCGAGCTTGAACCCTCTCACGTCGGTAGGCCCGCCGAGCTGGAAGCGGTCGCTGATGCGGCTTGGTTGGGCGCATCCCGAGAGGGGGGAGTAGCTGCCGATGGGGAGCGGGTATAGGAGACCCAGGCGGAGGCCGCCGCCGATGGAGATGCCCGGCTGCTTGGAGGAGGAGGATGTTAGGCCGGGAAGGGATAGGGACAGCGCGCCTGAGGCCTCGAGTTCCGTCTTGGCGAAGGCGACGTCGCCGTTCAAGGGGCCCCAGCCGGCGAGCTCGGAGATGGTGCGGAGGAGGTAGCCTGATTGCGGCAGCATCGGATTGTCGCGGCGGTCGCGGGTGAATGTGTGTGTGACGGAGCTCTTGAGGGAGTCGCCTGTGTCGGCGCGGACCGTGGGTGATGCGGTGGCGGCCAGGCCGGTGAGTTGGCGCCACACGCTCGAGTACGACAGGGCGTGGCTGTCGCTGTTGTCGGTCAGCCAGGCGAGCCGCAAATTCCCGCCCGTCAGCTGCTCTTCGTGCGACGCCCACGGTTTTTGGGTAGCCGAGCGAAGAGCTTCCACCGACAGCCGGAGGTCGGGGTTGCCATTTACTGGCGTGGAGAAAGTGGCGTTGTAGGCTGAGCGAGTCCGGGTGCCGGTACTCGCGTTGACGGAGAGGGTCTCCGCGCCGCCAAAGATGTTGCGTGCTACGGCGTTGGTGTAGGCGGAGCCTTCGGCGTTGCCAAAGTCGGTGCCGGCGCTAAAAGCCCAGCGCGGCTTCTCCTTCACACGGATCGAGATGTCGAGGTCGGTTCGGTCGGTGAGGGGGTTTGACTCGGGACGCGGAGCCTCAGACAGAAACACACGGAATCCTTCCTCCTTGAAAATGTCTTTTTTAGAGTAGCTAATGTGTCAACACGGAGCATGCACAGAGCAACTTCACATGTTAGAGCGGGGTGTGCGCACCGAAACGGGCCATCTTTTTAGTGGCTACGCCGACACGGTCGAGGACCTGGCCCAGGGTGGTTCCGGCATGAGCGTTTTCTTCCACCACGGCCTTGAGGATGTGGTCAAGCAAGCTTCTCCTGGTGTTGGTGGCGCCATGGACCTCGAGGGAACTTATGGAAGCTGGGGTCAGGAGGTGCTCATCGAGCTGGTGGCGGTTACCAGGTTAGCACCTTACCGCAAGTGCAGGTAGACGATGGAGGGATCGGTCGAGGTTGGGTTGTACCATTTGGGCAGGGCCTTGGTAAGAAGGTTGCGCCATGCTTGAACTCGTGGTAGCATTGGCCTTGTCGGCGACCTGATGTGTGAGCGAAGTTAGTTAAACTAAGCTCATACAGCTTGCTTGTGGCCATGGGAGCTGCATGAGTTGGACAAGTCGCCAGACCGCATAAAAGAAAAGAATTAGAAAGCCAGGTGGTCCTTACGTTACTGCCGCCGAAGCCAAGAGAGGCGGCCATTGATGTGTCCCTCGCCGTAATGGGGGCGATTGCAAGTTGAGGAGGATTGCCTTCAGGTCCGGGGATAGGTTGCCCCGAATTTTGCTTAACTTCCAGCTTCGGTCAGGACTCGGGTGGTGCCGGTCCCTGACGTTTGGACCCGACATTGGACAAAACGACTGCGGTGGCCCCACAATTTCTATCCCCAGGAGGGGCTCCACTCAATGGACGGGGGTGCCTTACGGATACTCCGTAGATCCGTACAGCAGGAACAATGTAACAAGGTACTGTACTTACCAAGGTCGGTCTGCATATCTGGGCTGACGACTCACGACTGACAATCAACTGAAGAGACTGGTCCCTTGACTTTCAGCTGCCTCCATTTAACTCTTCTGCTTCCCACTTATCACCACGCGATACGAGCTCAATTCAGCGATTTACTACTGACTTCGTTTCCGCTTCCACTCATATCATTTTCCTTTCCTTCTTCCCAGCTTCCACCACGCGGCGGCCTCGTTATCGGACCCTTTGTTGGCCGTTTGTCAACGCAGCCGCCGTCACATCCAGAGACTTTCGGCTCGTCGGCATGGCGAGTCGGGCGGCGCAGAAGCGCGTACGTCTCACGAACCGCTCATAGCAGCCGTAGCAACAGGCGGTAGATAACTAACCATCTTTTTGCTGTCCACAGTTGACGCGCGAATACAAGAGCATCACCGAGAACCCGCCACCCTACATCACAGCACACCCCTCAGAAGCAAACATTCTCGAGTAAGACATCGCTCGAAGCACCCAATTCGTTATTGCGCGCTGACACAAGCACACCCCGCAGATGGCACTACATCATCACAGGACCCGAGAACACATCCTATCACGGGGGCCAGTACTGGGGCACGCTCATGTTCCCTCCAAACTACCCGTTCGCGCCGCCGGCGATCCGAATGCACACGCCCTCGGGCCGATTCCAGCCCTCGAGTCGACTATGCCTCTCCATCTCCGACTTCCACCCGCGCTCCTTCAACCCGGCCTGGGAGGTATCGACCATCCTGATTGGCCTGCTCTCGTTCATGACGTCGGAAGAGATGACGACGGGCTCCGTGTCGGCCAGCGAGGCGGAGCGGAAATACCACGCGGCGCGCTCGCGGTGGTGGAACTCGACTGGGGGGGGGTCCCATCTCAAGTCTGAGAACGGAGCAGGTGCCGCCGGCAAGGGCAACATCAAGGCTGGCGACGGCGGGGCCAAATTCAGGGCGGAGTGGCCCGAACTGGACGAGGAGAACTGGAAGTGGATGCGCGAGAACAAGATCGACACGGCGACGGGGAATAAGATTGTCGAGGCGGGCGGCCCCTCGTGCGGGCCCCAGCTCGGCATTGCGGCCGGTAGTGGACATCAGGCCCACGCGGTGGTGGACGCGGTGATCCAGCAGAGAGACGCCGGGCAAGGGTGGCTGTTCCGGAATAAGCTGTTCCTGGCGGGGGCTATCATATTTGTCTACGTTTTGATTGCGAGGCTGCTTGGGGAGGGGACCTCTTGAGTCTTGGGCGAGGGTGTTAGCCGGATAATGCGGATCTTACGGCTGCCAGCGAGGTGCAAGGCGGATTGGGTCTTTGGGTGTCCAGTTTTCCCAGGCTATTTTAACCTGCTCATCAGGATGGGGTGACGTTTCCGAGAAGAAGGGAAAGTTGCCTTACGGCGGTTGAGATGTGAGATGGATTTGAAACGCTTGTCTCATACCCACGCAATTGCTGGTCAGCGCTCTTGTCTATATCGGAGCAGGCAGTGCTTAGTATTCCATATCCACGCATGGACCAAAATAGAGGTTTCTTTCTCCAGCATGAAGATGGGCGAGGGAGGCGTCGGACAAGTTCAACTGAAGGCATGAATCACGCGACTTGATTAAGCCTTGCATGTGTTTCTCGTCAACGATGGTTCCCTGGGGACTTCTGAGGTATTCTCGTCAACCTGCCACCGTAATGGATCAAGACAAGTCTTGAGTTTCTGACGGCCCGGTCACAAGCGCCATGGAACCCTTTTCTACGCTCTATCTCGAAAGGGTTGCCTTCGATAACCATGCAACGGCGCGTCACTGAACGTTTGGGGTGGGGTCGATCTGGCGATCTGCCGAGAACAGGGTTTGATCTCCATGCCCTGGATTTCTTTGCAACTTTCCCGCTTTGTTTCTGTTCAACCTGGATTAACAACGCGCAGCTTTCGAAGGCCGAAAAGGTTGGTGAAGGATGGAAAGCCGAGGACAGGAGGGGTTTGTAGGATTCCGTGCGTTCTATTCTCACCGCTCGTCTCCGGGAACACTGCCTTCTGAATGGGCAAGAGCAAGAACGGCCACGGAGAGAAAGGAACGTGGAACCTGCAAGCAGGCCCTCGACAAATACATCCATGTGAGGTGATCAAACAATGCACCATCGGGACATTTTCGCGACTTCCGTCTTACCCTAGGTCGTTGTTGCTCTCGGGTAATACCCCCTATATCTATCGACTATTGCTCACCACCGCCAGGATCTCTATGACTCCATTCTTTCTTTCTGTCTTTCTGTCTTTCTGTCTTTCTGTCTTTCTGTCTTTCTGTCTTTCTGTCTTTCTGTCTTTCTGTCTTTCTGTCTTTCTCTCCTTTTTCTCTTTCTCTTCTCTCTCTCCTCTTCAACTTTGTCCTTATATTCCATCTATTCCCTGCTTTTCTTACATTCCTTTCTTTGATCCTGTTTACGTCTAGTGCCCTGCCATGTGCCACGCTAATGTATAAACCAGGGTCAGACTGCATTGCTTAGGAGGAGATACTACGCTGCCTCCAGCGGTTTCCATGATTCAACGTTGGTTTCTTTCTTGGTATTGCAATAAAAAGCGTAGTAAGGCCTCCAAGTCCATCAAAGGCGGATATGTGCTATTATTCCGTTCACCGGATTTCGCCTAGCACTGGAACCGCCAGCCAGCCGGGTCACAACATCATCAACACACAGTCCACAGCAAATATGACAGCATGGGGAACCCAAACGTCACAGCTCATTACTGGCGGCACAAATGTCCCGCCAAGAACCCAGAGGACGGAGACGATGTCGTCAGCAATCACCCAAACATCAAACACACCGAGATCTCTCCACGACCGCCTGTCATCCAAGCGCGGGGAGTCCCTCCTGGGCACGAAATGCAGCGTAGACGGCTGCCAGTACGTGGTCAACGAGGAGACGGCCATTCTCAACAAGTACAAGCAGGAGATCCACGACCTCGGCGGCAAGAACCTGTACCCCAACAGGATGATCCCGGTCTCGATGCGGTGCTGCAAGTGGTGGTGCCGCAACAAGACCACCTACGGCCACAGCGAATACAACTCCAACTTCTCCGGGCTGGGAAACCACACTTGCGTCCACGCCTACGTCTACCAAGACGCTATCCATGAGCGGAACATCGAGAGTCGGCTGCCCGGCTGCACCTGTGTCATGCTCAATGAATTTGGTGAGGCCGTCGAGACGTGGGAGCCGCAATCCCGCAGGGGCGTGCCGTGCCCCGGTAGGCCGTTGGATCTTGATATCAAGTATCATGAAAGGAGGATGCAAAAAGATGGGGAGAAGGAGCCGAGCAGCGAGTCCTCGGGGAAGTGAGCGTCATGTGGCATGACTCTGGAACAAGTCCCAGTCCGTAGTGATTACCAAATAATGTAAGATGAGTAGCCTAGAGTGTCAAAAGTTTCTGCATACGAGATATAGAGTCTCGTGATAACACGCGGAGATGAACGCTGCCTTCTCAGGTTGATCTCGTTACGAACGCGATCTGGTCCATATCTATATTACAGTGAGGGTGCAAAAGTATCCGGCTACTTGTCACGAACCAACCATATGTACAGGCCCAGTGGGGCACAAGACAGAACTGCAGGAACCGCACGAGGCCCACACGGTAGCCGTGGGGGCCGGGCGATCAAGGGTAGACTTGGGTAGCTGGCTACCCAAGGCGATCAAGGATAGCTTATGGTAGACTGCGATAATGGGCGATCATGAACGCTCTACCAAGTATATAGTCACTCGTTCTAGAGGACTCTGGGAGTTCTCCAGTAAGCAACTCAAGTGCAAGATTGTCAGTACCTTTGGACATTGCTCGTTGTGAACCCTTTGGCTTCACCGAACCTCACCCCGTTGTCAAAGCTATAACCTTCAGGAGTCCCTTTCAGAAGTTGGGGCTTTGAGATTCGTCACACTACTCTACATTCTCCCAGCCACCCACATTACATACCTTGAGCTTTAACACAGGATATCTCAACACTGCAAAGTCGGACAGAAAAAGATGGGCATTGTTAAAAGCCTAGGCCTAGGGCATCAATATTCGTATACCAACCCTTGGCTTTCCTAACTACAACTAGCAGGTTCGGCATTCCGTTGATTACTTATCGATCAACGCCTGTAGGATAGCATCCTACGCCACACGCAGGCACTCTTTGAACCTCTCGATATTCAAGACGTTTTGCTTTAGAGTCTATAATTCTAGGAACATTTTCCGTAGGTTCCGCTTCAGAACTGCCCAAACGTGTGTAACGGGCTGGGCCCGAGATGGGCCTCGGTGACCCTCGGCCAGTGTAACGGGCTGAGCCCGTAAAGGCCTCGGCAAACTCTCGGCCAAGACTCGAGATTCGGTGGACTTCTATCTTGTTCGATATCGGCGCACAGGCCAAGGATGTGGAGGATAAGACGGCAGGTATCTTGCATAGTGTTTCACTCTCTTTTCTTCTTCTCTCTCCATTCGAGACAAACTCGTAGAGTCGTCACCAGCTAGTTTGTGACGAATCTCAAAGCCCCAACTTCTGAAAGGGACTCCTGAAGGTTATACTTGACAACGGGGTGAGGTTCGGTGAAGCCAAAGGGTTCACAACAAGCAATGTCCAAGGGTACTGACAATCTTGCACTTGAGTTGCTTACTGGAGAACTCCCAGAGTCCTCCAGAACGAGTGACTATATACTAGATGCATTTGGTTGCTCTCTCGTGCTCTCTAGAGCCACCTAGAGCCAATGCTCTATGGTGCTCTCGAGAGCCTCTTAGAGCGTCCTCTGATTGGCCTTGCACTGGTGCTCTCTCATGCTCCTGAGAGCTCTCTGGAGCACCTCTAGTACTCGTTCCGATTGGTCCTAAGTGATTGGCTCGGAACGTCCTACGTTCCCCACTGGCTTCTGTAAGTAAGCCGCCGTTGTTGACTCTCGTTGGTTCATTTGTGACATAGTTGTAATATACTCCTGGGACCGTTACAAAAGGAGATCTTCGATATTTTCCAACGCATGATATACGAACGTATACCGGTCCTTTGCTACCTCGATTGTAAGTGGTATTCGCTTCAATGCTCCTCATTTTTGATAATTGTACTCGCGGAGAGCATGACGGACTGTCGAGCTTGACACCTTCTGGTCTAGGACCTTAAGGAGCGGTTTATATATAAGCCGGGTATTGCGCTTGGCTACCTGGACAATATACTGCTTCTCTCGTCGAGTAAGGACCTAAGGCCGGCCGATCCTCAGCTTGGAATCGAAGGATATAGTAGTTGTAAAGCGTTGAATAGTCTTGGACACAACATGTGTTGAATTTGGCAGGTGGTCAGAGAGGGCAGTTCAGGTGTGACTAATGGCTTGGCACCAGGATTCTCAAAATCAGGAACAGGCAGGGAACTTCTGGAAGAACACAGACAGCAACATCATCATCAGTTGAGTGGTTGCCCATCTTTTGGTACTCGATTACTACGGTGCGGTCAATCCGTGGCTGTTGACTTTCCAACAACATGCGATACGCCGAACACGGCTACCACGGTGCATTGGCTAACCCCAGCTACGACCGCACCACAAATGGCTGCACGTGCAGCAGGGCTCAATTCCTCGTGTTCTTGCGATCAGCCGTTAAGATGCGGCCTAAATCGGTCAAATCGAGTGCCAATTAGGGAAGTTATAGTCGTGTGAAAATTCGAGGATGGTGGTAGACGTGTCGAGGAGACGCGTAAAGTGGGTGGGGTGGTACATAACAGACTTTTGGAACCCCACTGTACTTGAGACAACGACGGATCATTAAGTAGGAGACCTGCTTACATAGTTACGTTGATAAGTGCTTTCGTTACGACGGATCGGTTTTTTTAACGAGTGAAATGATACATGGCTTCTACCTTCGAGTTAGGGCTGGAGGACGGCCGGTACGAGGCTGGGCTTCGAAGGTTTGGTGACTTTTCTAGTGCTCAATATAACGGGCGACAGTATCGCGGGAGACGCGAAAGAGCTGGGCGACGGCGCGTTCGCTTTGGCCAGCTGCAACGAGGGTGCAAATAGCTGTACGTGCTCCTGGAGATAGCTCCTGTAACCTCCCACGACCGGCGGTTAAACTGGCAACGAAATCAGCCAAATTGAGCTTCATGATATCGAACTATGGTGGTTCGGAAGTTGGGAAGGGGAGGACGCGAGTCACGACCGCGTTAAATCGATGTAGGGTGGTCGGATACTTTTGAACCCCCACTGTACCTACTGCTACTCCAAGTCTAGTGAGCGTTTAAATTGAATATCCCAATGATGCCACACATCACCATACCTAAGAATGGCCCCAGATTGGCTTGGGCTGGTACAATTCTTCGAGGTACTTCTCCTCGTCCTCCGTCAACACTTTCCCCTTCGCCGAGATAGCTTCCTCCAGTCTCTCGACGCTGCTAAACCCAATAATGGGACTGGTGACGCGCTTGTTGATCCAGGCCAGAGCCACATGAGAGATCTGTCGCGAGGTTAGCGGACCCCCCTTTCTGACTAAACATTAATGTCAATGGCCAAGGTAGTAGCTAGTGAACTCACCGGCCACTCATGCTTATCCGCAATCTCCACAGCCCGCTTGATGATGGTCAAGTCAGGTTCGACCGTCCCGTGCGTTCCGGGCTGGTTGTCCTTCTCCCCCTTACTCCGTTTGGTCGTGCCGAACTGCTCCGGGCGGCGAGCCAGATGTCCCCTGCAGAGCGGCGCCCACGGGATCAAGCCGACGCCCGTGTCGTTACAGAACCGGTTCATTTCGCGCTCCTCCTCGCGGTACAGCAGGTTGTAGTGGTTCTGCATGCTGACAAACTTTGTCCAGCCGTTGCGCTCGGCGCAGAACTGCATGCGGGCAAACTGCGTCGCCCACATGCTGCTGGCGCCGAGGTAGCGCACTTTCCCGGACTGCACGAGGTCGTGCAGCGCCCCCATGGTCTCCTCGACAGGCGTGTCCCGGTCGAAGCGGTGAATCTGCAGCACGTCGATGTAGTCAGTGCCGAGGCGCCGGAGCGAGGCGTCGACCTGGTGGAAGATGGCGGCGCGCGACAGGCCCAGGTGGTTGACGTAGTCCTTGGACTCCTTGAGCTGGTTCATGAAGAAAAAGGCGCGCAGCTCGGGCTCCTCGCCGACGGGGAAATAGCACTTAGTCATGATGACGACCTTTTCGCGCGGGATGTTGTACTTCTTGAGGGCCTTGCCGACGATGATTTCCGAAGCGCCGTTCGAGTACTGGTTGGCCGTGTCCCACGTGTTGAGGCCCCGATCGTAGGCTGCTTTCAGCAGGGGCAGCGCCTCCTCCTCGCCGATGGCCCAATCCAGCGTCCTGGGGTCGCCGAAGCTCATACAGCCAAAGATGGGCACCGAGATGCGGAGCCCGCTGTTTCCCAGCCGTCGGTACTCGCATTTGGTGTTTTCAAGTGAGGTTTTGAGCCCAAGGGGCATGGGGGGCGCCGCCATCTTGCCAGCTAAACAGGATGGTTCTAGGTTTGACTTTGTTGAGGTAGGTTGATGGGTCCTTTTGATTCTCTTGCTTCCGGGTGGTCAACTTGAGAATCTCAAGACTTCTAAAACTTGCGCGAGGGGTTATATGCGTGGTAGCGACGAGCGAGCTGCGTGATGACCACCACAATGTTACCCCGCTGCGGGGATAAAAGGCGGTAAGAGTTGAGTCCAGGTGGTATTCCTGGCTTGACGAACACAGTGTAAGTGTGGAGTTTTCTCTACTATTAGCTGCAGAAGGGCACTCGCTTGCCGACGTGTGTGTCGGACCTGAATTTCCGTGGGTGCGCAAGGAAGTCTCAGGGCCTGAGTTGTACCGGTATTGCTGCCTTCAGTCCCAAATCCGGTACATACATATTTTATCGAAGCGGTCTTTTCGGACTATACCCGCTTGATGTAACGGTCTCAGGTAGTATATTGCAACTAGCTGATGACGACTCTACGAGCACACTGAACTTGGGGAATGAAAGAAGAGATGTGAGACTCTAGTAGCTCGAGAACCAATTTATCCTCACAGGTATGCGCTGCTAGAAGGTTCGACACTGTGGGTCAAGTGGGAATAGCTTCATCCAGGGGGTTTGGTGGACCGTGCTTGTACGAGAGCTGGCCGAGGGTCATCAAGGCCCATCTCGGGCCCAGCCCGTTACACTTAACCTCCTAGACCATAGCCCTACTCACTCTACCAAGCCTAACCCCAACCTCGACTTCCTTGAGAGATACCTACATCGAACAACTATATATAATCTAACCTTAATCTACTTATTAGTAGAGAGCGGTAGAGCGGAAGCTGAAAACACAGAGCTACGCTTTGTCAAGGATTACGGCGAAAACATAGGGCCTAGGACCAGCCAAAGCACGAGAGGTATACTCAAAGTGCATCCGGTCAGCGCTAGCGTACTGTCACGGCGATTGCGCCGTGCCTGCTAGGACCCACGGGTGGAACCCGGCATGTGGAAACCACGGGCCCCTGTGGGTTAAATATTCTGCACCTCGCTGCCGCGAGATCTGTTCGTAGCTCCTCGAGCTACGTCTTGACAATCAAGCCTGCCCGTACCTGACGGAATAGAGCTTAGACTGTAGTTTAGCCCGAATACAATTGTCATTGGATTGTGCGCCTGTCCCGCCGTGACAACGGTTGGCGATAGTCTTACCCCCTCTGCAGTGCCACACTCAAGGACAGTAACCCATGTAGTTGTATCAGAGCTAGTTGTATAAGCCCTGTTTGTAAGGGAACTGCCAATGACTGTGCCGGCCGTAGTTTCGAGCTCCTGCATGCCATGCTCGTCAAGGTTGGCGATATTCGCGGGTACGATGTTCTTATCGCGAATATGGAACTCCAGCCTCTCATAGAAATCTTGGTAAGCGTCCCGTGTAGAGCCTTTCGTACGAGAGCTTTCCAACAGAGCTGATTT